ACTTGAAAACATCTTGAAAATTTTGTATTACAATTTATAAAATCTTTAAAAATCGTTCCCTATGAATATCGGCCTGGACCGACCCGCGTATAGAATTCCCAAAAATCTTACTACCAGTGCCATGCCGGTCCCGGTCCTCCGACAGTCCCGGGTCGGGTCGGGCTGGTTTGGCCATCACTAGCTCCAACTATGATGATAATTCTTTTAACTTTGGTCGATCTTGGCCTCCACAAACTGTCAAGTCCATTACATTAAAATTCAGCGGCCAATTCTTGAAGGCCCAAATTATGGTGTAGTGGTCGCGACGGTTCACATCCGTCCCTTCAAAATCAGGTTGATTAGTCCCAAAATCCTATAACCGATTTAGGCTTGGTAACGTGTCTTGGTCCTATCTAACCGGTCTTGGACTCGATACGGTTTTTAGAAAAAGTATTTTTACTCAAAAATATTATGCATATTTTTATAATTATGATTTTCAAATTTAGTGTTTCAACACATTTAAGTAGATATAATCTTTAAAAACCTGAAAATCTTGTATTCTAATTTATAAAAAAAAAGACTTAGAAAAAATTGGAAAACCAGATCTATACATGATCAATCCTGGACCAGGCCTTGAAATTCCATAAAATGTGTAACTGGTTATAAACCATCGGGTTGTAACCGGCGTCAATCGCTCCTGAGTCCCTGTACAAAGTCGGGAAGGGACCAATCATGTATAAGCCTGATCTATTTTTATATCAGGTTTTGAATCCCAACTTTTTGTTTCGAATTTATTTATTATTTATTATTTTAATTAATTTTGAATTTATAGAAAAACCGTCAAAAGTGGTAAATGTCGATTATAGAGGATTTTGCTTAGATACATGTCCAACTATAGAATTTCTTCCACGTTTTTTATGTTCATCATTCCTTTCGTTATTGTTTTCATGAAAAATACACTCAATTCAGTATCATTGAATTCAAGTTTTTGAACTCGATCAAAATACTCTATTCGTCAAATGAATTCCAGCCTTGTTTAAATTTTAGTATTATTTTCAATTTTAATTAATTTCGAATTAACAGAAAAACTGTCAAAAGTGGTAAATTTCGGTTATGAAGGGAAAAGTATAAATACGTAGCTCTAGAATTTGTCCCGTTAGTTTTCCTTATATCATTTATTACTTCAATTACTAAAGGGCCGTTTACCTAACACTTACCCGGTAAGTGTTTATCGATAAAATTTAATATTATTATTTACTTAACGGGTAAGATTTTAGTCCAACAAAACGACATCGTATGCAATAATTTATCCGATAAACGTTTACCATGGTAAGAGTCGTTGCTCTCACTTACCGGGTAAGACTATTGATCATTGTCCCGCTCTTACCGGGTAAGACTATTGATCCTTGTCCCGCTCTTACCGGGTAAGTTCTTGGTCCTTATCATATTCATCAGGTAAGGTAATGTGATTTGGTAAACGCTTACCCGAGCAAATGTTTGGTAAACGGTCTATAGGTTGCCGACTGATGTCTTCTTAATTTGTTTACTGCATACGATTTTTGTTGTTATTTATATGTAACATTAAAACGGACTTAGATTAGTTTTAACAAGTAACAACTTAGATGAAAATTTATTTTTGGAATATATATAGGGTCAGATTCAGGAGAAAACTCTAAATAGACGGAAAACCGAAAAACCACGAGAAATTGAATGAAAAAACATATCAATATGGATGTCAAATGAACTAGAAAAATATGATCGTTTTCTTGGTGGATTTATTTCACTCGAATTTTTGTTTATTTTTTTATCTTTTTTTTCGGAATATAAAATAGGGTTTAATTTTAAAAAATATTGTTGTGACCACCTATTTAACCACATCCATTAGACATCTAATCTGACGATTGATAAAGTGTTTTGCATAAATTCCATTTTTGATAGGTCCAAAATTTTTTTCACAAAATAATCCCAATTTGTCAATTTTTTGTATTATTTGGAATTTTGTTTTTCATATATCCTCAGTACAAGAGCGCTCGATCATTGAGACGCCTTCAACATCCAAGCACCACGTACCTAGTTTTTCATTTATTTAGAGTTTTATCCTAGACCTCCCTATATACATACATACATACATACATACATACATACATACATACATACATACATACATACATACATATATATAGGGGCCTATTCAAGGGAGAACTGAGTTGTTTGTAGTAACTATGAGAACTAATATTAACCACAAATCAATAGATAAATTAAGAAATTTATAAATTTGGTAATTTTAAATTAAAATCTTAATGCAAGGATATTTTTGGTATTTTAAAACTCTCCTCTCTCCGGCCACCATTCTCCGGCCTCCGGCCACCGTCCTCCGGTGATACCACTATGATACCACTGTGATACCTAAAAATATTGACTCTGTTAAACAAAAGATACATTGTGATACCTAATCATATATAAGATGCATAGTGATACCAATGTGTTACATCTTCGATCGACCACACAAACGATATCAATGCGATACCCAAGCACATATATACTGCATTGTGATACCATTGTAGTATCACCGGAGGACGGTGGCCGGAGGACGATGGCTGGAGAGAGAAGAGAGGAGGGAGGAAAGTTTTAAAATACCAAAAATATCCTTGCATTAATATTTTAATTCAAAATTGTCAAAATTATAAATTTCCTAATTTATCTATTGATTTGTGGTTAATATTGGTTCTCACAGTTATCACAAACTAATTAGTTCTCATTTGATTAGGCCCCTATATATATATAGAGGAGCGTTCAAATGAAAACTTGACCCATTTGTGTAAACCGTGTAAACCAATCTCATCCGTCCATTTTCTTGATCAATGGCCTAGATTATATTATTTTATTTTAGGAAATTAAAAATTAAAAAATAATTAATATTCATTTTATTTAAGAAAAAAAGGGTAGAATCGGTATTCATATCAAAAGCCCTCGTTTCCTATTTCCAAATACTCCCATTGTATTTTAGGAAATTAATAATCATTATTTTATTTTAGGAAATTAATATTCATTATTTTATTTTAGGAAATTAATATTCATTATTTTATTTTAGGAAATTAATATTCATTATTTTATTTTAGCATGTTCATTATGAAATTATTTTTTCAAATACTCCTATTGCATATGAGTCAATTTTCTAAAAGAACAAATTCCATTACGCATCCGTTTTATTTCATTCTACAAACTAAATGGATTAATTTTAAATACAATGCAATTGTGCTCACTACGAAACTAGTTCATCAATCCCCAATAAATTACATAATGAAAATGTTGCACCAACATCAAAGTATTTGCTACACTATTTCATAATGAAACCTTTTCACTATGCACCAGCTTCATGATATGTCTATTTCATAAATCACTATGCACCAGCTTCATGATATGAAACATTTGAACAATGATGAATTACATGAACCTTAATAACATATAAAATTAAATAAAACTGTTTCATCATGAAACTAATTATTCAGYHTYAAGTCAAATATGAAATGAAACTGTTTCACCAACATCAACCCCTTTCATAAACTATTTCGTACTGAAACCTTTGCTCATCAAAAGTGTTGCATTATCATTAATTCAATTTTCAATATAATGAAACTGTTTCACTATTATATATTGAATCATTTATAAAATGAAAAAATGTATTACGAAAATGAAACTGTTTCATTTTACTAAACCCATTTCACGAATCTTGCATCTCTTAGAATATGAATTTTTTTACATCATGACAATGTTTCATTGATATATATAATATGTTTTGAAGATTAATATAAGTCATTTACACATGAAACACACATGAAATCTTTTTCATGACTATAGAGTGTAATGAATATTTGTTTTTTTTTTCACCTGCAGCAACCCACGATTTCATTTTCATCAATATATTTGATGAAATCTTCATAATTTGTTTCATTATTCATTATAGTTATCATTAAAATAATGATTTTAATAATATAATTTCCTTATATATTGAAACGTTTCCTTTCTTCAATATTTATTTTATTTAATTTCCTTATATAATATGAATTAATAACTTCCATAATTACGAAATATGTGTACAAAATGTCATAAATACCCTTATTATTTAAATTTAATTGAAAACAAATGGAATTTTCTTATTGATCGAATTTGATTTACACGGTTTTTTAGAATTGGACGGTTCGCATTTGAACCTGCCCCTATATATATATATATATATACTAATGAAAGATTCATTTGAAAAGCGATTGACATTTGCGGTTTTGACTATGAAGTACCGAATAATTACTATGCAAAATATTTCCCCTCTTTTTACATGGTGATGGTTTAAAAAAAACCGTTTACAAAAGTGCTTGTGATTTTTGAAATCCCATTTCACACGTTCTATGGTAAATAAATCGTTTAAAAAAATACTCTAACCTCTTTACACAGTTGTTATAAAAAACGTGTAAAAAAGTATATATATTTTACATGGTTAAAAGAAAACAATTGTATAGAAAAATACTCTACGTGAGTCATTGGCCTCCTAAGAATTTTAATGTTCAAATCTCACCAAATGTAGAAAAGATGTGTGAATTTATTTATTCTATTTACCATATATATATATATATACATATATATTATATATTTAAAAAAAAATAACTCTTAAAATTAATAGTTCTGAAAATTAAGAGTTATCAATCATCTATTTAAAATGTAACTCAATGATATCCCAAATCTTACAAACTTAAGAAACAAAATTCAAATCCTCTAGAACATTCCATAAAGCCACGATACTTCTTAAGTTTTGTGGCCAGAAAAAATGACCGGAAAAAAAATACGAACTGATGGATAAAAAAAGGGAAGGGAACCGGCCACCGTTGCAATTGCAATTGGAATTTCGAATTTAACTGATTTTTCCATTGACTTTTATTAGTTAAAATTTTAGTTTACGAAATAATTTGTAATTTTCTATGGTTCTTTTTCCTCAATTTTTTTTCTGATATTTATGATTGATATATAAATTTGTATTGTTTTGTTGTCTTAACAAATATTTTAAGTATTTAACTTTTAATAAAAAAAGCCTGAAAAGAAATTAAAAATTATGACCGATTGGCCATGTCGCCGGCGATTAACAAACGCGGTTTCTTCGTCGGCAACGGACTTTCGACTTCTTGTTCATGGTTCAACACTTGGCTTTTCTTCCAATAGTCAACGTTCAAACCCAATTCGAATTCAGGGAAGGCGGGCAGGTTTAAGTCGAATTCTCGCGGTTGGACATGGGTGGAGGAAGCAGTCCCTTCGGAGGTTGTGACGGCAGCTCCGGTTCCAGGGTCGTAGTGACGCCTTTTATGACCACCGAGTGCCTGACCGGTGGAGAAAGACCTATGGCAGATGGAGCACTCGTGGACCCTGTTGCTAGTCTTCAAAGCAGAGGAGGTGGACAGGTGGTGGTGGTGGTCGTCGTCGTCGGAATTAGGTTGGACGTTTTTCCGGTGGCTGGATTTGTGGCCACCGAGTGCTTGGTAAGTAGCGAATTCCTTGTTGCATACGCTACACTTGTAGGAGGTGAAATTATGGGAATGATGAGGTGGCGGAGGAGCTGGGGAGTTGCCTCTGGCGAGCAACATGAGGCAGAAGGCCAAGTACTCCTCCTCCGTGGCCGGCGTTGATGGATGGGCGGCGGTGGTGGTGGTGGGTTTATCGGTGACAGGTTTGAGTGACATTAATACATGTGTGTGTGTGTATAAATATATATATGTATATGTATGTCCTTCAGATAGAGTGGGAGTGTTGAGTGTCTTGAATGATACTCCATAATATATATAGGTCTGTACGTGGGGCCATAGGGCGAGGAACACCGGCTGAGTTGGCAAAAACCGGGTCATAAACGCGTTATATTGAGGTAGTTTGAGCATGATTGATGGCATCATTTTTGTGCTATCACGGATTCAAAAAGTATTTTGTTAATTAAAGATCAAAGTTTCAAATCTACGAACAAGACTCGACCTTGATCACGTGTGGTTTATACGATTGTACAGAGCATCAAAGTGTAAGGGGGCATAAATTATCATTTATTACTGATTTTGGGTTTAATAATTTGTGAATTGAACAATTGGATTTTAACAATAAAAATAGACTCAAGGCCTGATAGCAATGGATACTGAATGCATTTTGTGAATCTGTGAACGCTCAACATTCCAACAACTCAAGTCTAATTCCATTGTTCTTCAAAGTTCGTTTGTTTCGATTTTCAAGACATGGCGTCCGGTTTCAAACCGATCACAATCATGAAGCTAGATTCGATAAATCGCAGATGGAAATCCCAAATGGCCGATTTCTATCGTTGATTGAACTTGCTAAGTTGCTAGTGAGTCATATTATGATTTATGAATCTTTAATTCTTTTTGCAAAAAAAAAAAAATCTAAATTTCTAATTGATTATTATAAAGTTGTGTCATGTGTGGTCTTGTGAGTTACTGACTTACTGGGCTAAAGTGTAACATCACGCCCCAATTTGCATATATAATACATTTTCACATATCATGAACTACAAATATGGCACATGATCCCGAATTTACACAACGGTATTTGTAAAAGTTACTACGAACTTTTTGTCCAATTCACATGACTTGAATATAATAAATTCACAAGTTTATGTAGTAACAACATCCACAAAACCCAAATTTAGCATATAATCATGTACAAAAACTCTAATACTTCCAACCACATCTTCCCCTTCCCTTTACCTTCCGAATGTACCTGTCCTGAAATGCAAATTTTTAAAAACAAAATGAGGGTTAGATCATAAGGTCTAGTAAGTAAAATTCCATGATAGCTTTACAAGGTAAAAATTCATCAAAAGAATTTTGGAAAGTCAAACTTTAAAGTCAAAATAGTAATAATAGTCGTCGCACACCATACTATGCAATTATCACATGTTTATCACACCACAAAGGTATGACAACTCAACTTATCGTACCAAACATCAACTTGTCGCACTAAAAGGACGCGACAACCAAACTCATCATACCACAAGGACGCGACAACCAAACTCATCGTATCACAAGGATGCGATAACCCAAACGCATCGCATCACAAGGATGTGATAAACGATACTCATCGCATCACACTGATGCGATAACCTCTATTCATTATGATGCGATAACAACAAATTCATGTGACAAAATTATTATTTCTAAACAAAACCATTGAGTATGTCACCCATAATCATTTACATCTTTCCAGATTATGTGACCTTTATCCAATTTACACCTCTCCTGTCGATTATGCCACTCTTATCTCATTTTACACCTCTTTTACCGATTATGCCACTCTTATCCCATTTACACCTTTCTTGTCGATATTTCAATGAACCGATAATATCCCCACAATTGATAATACAACATCAAAAACCCAATTATGCTAACAAATAGCAAATAGTTATATCCAAAAATACCCAAATTCGAAACCCAACAGGTTTCTTGTCAAAAACATTTCAGATTAAGCTTTTAAGATAAAAACTCACTTTGATCACAATTAGATGATAACTTTAAACCGGCCACAAACTCGAATACTAAACACGTAACTCTTCTTCTTCCTCCTCTTCCGCTTCCTCTTCCTCTTCCTCTTCCACTTCCGCTTCCTCCTCCTAAGATTTTAAATCAATTTTTTAAAATACACCTCTTAGCTTTTCACAACTAACTAAAAACCACCCTCAACTTCCAAACAAATTTAAAAACAGCCCCAAACTTTCAAACGATAACTAACACGATTATAACATAAAGCCTAAGGGGATTTTATCTTTTTGATAATGAGTCTTGCATAAGTGTAAACGAACCTAATGTTCGACGATTCCTTCATGAATCATGAACTGTATGGCGGGAAGTTCGTTTATGTTCATTTATTTAGAACAAACATGAACATATTTTTTTGATAATGAATTGCATATTAAAATTTGAAAATTGAAATTTGCAATGCATATGAGCACATTACTGTATCAACACAAGTGGAGCATGTTGCACCGTAATAGCAACATATTGGAATATTGCCTTATTGGACACTTTTTGCAATGCACAATAGCATAGATTACAAATTTTACAACTTATCATTATTCTTTTGAGGTTTGACATTACCGTATTAGATTTAGACTTTAGTCTTTAGACCAATAATTTTATGTGTTTTTCTCTTTCCTTATTATGACACTAACTTTGATGTAAATTACTATTTTAATTAAAACTAATTACAGTTTTCCTTGTTTTTTAAGTTCCATATATTGAAGTAAGGGTTCTATTATGCTAATTTCAATTTGGAAAAGAGAAAACAGGAAAAGAAGGAAGCCTCAGGTTTTATCCTTCTATCCGTCTATATTTTGTAATTCTGGGTTTTAATTTTATGTCCCAACCACTTTGTATTCTTTTACTATAATTAATAAAAACCAGCATGAGATGAATCACCTAGCTTTACTACTTTCCAAACTCTTTAAAAAATCGAATGTTTCGTCGTTTCATTTGCTGAAAAAATAGGCATAGGGGCATTTTTTATCATTTTCGCACAAGGGTAGGACCAGCCCTGATCTGATATGTAAGATGTATACAGACATATCACATATCATAAGGGATAGAAAAGGGGAGTAAGAGATAACTGCATTAAAAGATAGATAAGATAATGAGAAGCACACATCAATCTATTTATTGTTTAAGGGGTCGTTTACCAAATGCTTACCTAGGTAAGCGTTTACCAAGTCACATTACCTTACCGGATGAATATGACAAGGACCAAGAATCTTACCCGGTAAGAGCGAAGATAAGGACCGAGAGTCTTACCCGGTAAGTGATGACGACGACTCTTACCACGGTTGGCGCTTACCGGGTAAGTTATTACATACAATGTCGTTTGTTGGACTCAAAGCTTACCAGGTAACTAAACGATAGTGTTGAAATTTACCAGTAAGCACTTACCGGGTAAGTGTTTATGTAAACGACCCCTAACTCGAGTAACCTATGTATCAGCTCTGTGCTCCCTAGGTCCCATCCTCAACCTCTGAAACTCCCTTCTTTGTATTGATTCTAGCTAAAGGTCTTTACACCGAGCTAGTTTGCTACACCAGTCATGTGTTTCCAAGAACTCGTGTTAAATGTCATGCAATTGGAAATGTTTAAGCCCGTCATATTAATCCTAATTGCTCGTTCCACATCATTCACAACCTATCCTTCCTCCTCATTCCCTCGACCGTCACTGTTTTTACTGTCTTTAATGGTGTCGCTATTGGTGTCCTACGAGTATGTGCAAACTGCAACAGTCGTCCCTCTTTGTGGCCTACTCCTAACTCTACACGGAAGACCTCGTTTAGTATCCTATCTTTGTTTGTCCGTGATAGGCCAATTTTTCCCATGGGTTTTTCTTGTCGTCCAACTCTTTGACCCTTGTAATATAATTGGTTTGGCAAATACCATATAAAAATCTATTTAAAAGTCATTCTTAAAAATCAAAGTAAAAACACTTTGATCCTTACAATCGATAACCAGACTGTTGATCCTCTCTCTCAGTGATTTGATGATAATCCCTTTTTTCTTTCGATGTATTTCTGTATCTGTAATTTCAGTTCCAGCGATCAT